AAGAGTGGTAGCATGCACCTTTTGCAACTAGCCCATACTGTAAAGCAGTCACGAAAAATTCATCCCGAATTCAATTCCACTCTTAGCCTGAGGGAAGGCAAATTCGCAACTGTCACTCTTGCCCAGCAGGTAGGACAGCTAGCTAAAAGAAGACAGACCTGATTGTGGTCTCTCCTCCCATGAGAGTTTATTCATCTTACATTCTGCAGTAATTGGCTAAAGAAACAGGATGGGAAGGCAGGTTTTCTTCTTTCAAGTGTCTGTGCTAATTGCCAAGCAACAAAATGAAGCTTCCCTGTGGTTGCAGCCTTCCTGGCCACAAATCACACTCTTTACTCCCCATCTTCCTGTTTCAGTACAAAAGATAGAGTTTGCTCCTGCTCATCTTTTCTCACTCCCCTCTTCTCAGGGCTTTCTTTAAGGGACAGTGAATCCTGAATGGACAGAGATGTCCCAGTGGACAGACTTAAATCCAACACCTCAGCTCTAAAAGGAGGAAGCATCCACAAATCCTCATGCTTAGGGTCTCCCAGCTAGCCCCAGGCAGTCCCTGACTCTGAGCCCAGGAGCACTAACACAGCCCTTGAAGGCACCCCATCTTTCTGGATGGTGCAGGAACCTCAGACACCTAGCACCAGTTCTCTATCCTAAGCTGAACCACCTGGGGTTGTCTGAAGTCGATACTTTGAAACCAGCACTAGGAGACCTGGCCCAGGCAATCTGCAAAAAAACAAATAAATCAATCACAGGTCTCTCATCACTTAGACTGAAGCCATAGCTGCTGGATTCTCCTTGTTCCCCTCTTCCATACCTGTCATAGTATCAAACTCCCAGATTTCTATTTGACTAAGGCAACCCATTGACAGATGCAGCTCTATCAAAGCCTCAAAAGAAGGTGAGATTTCATTATTTTTAAGTAACTACTGTGGGTATGAACTAGGAGTATTTGGAAGTCTATCTCAGTCATTACTAGGACCTGAATGTCTCCCTGCCCGGACTACAAAACATTTTCCAGAAAGGTTGAATTGAGTTTGTTTTTTTTTTTTTTAAAGATAGCAGCAGCGAATAGTGACCAGAAGAGATCATCTCCATCTACAAAGCCTGCTTCACCCAGAGTCTTAGCATCACAGCATACCACTATCATCAATCTTCCACTCCTGCCGACAGCTACCTCCCTGAAACAGGAAAGGCCACAAGATATTTGTACACCCAGGAAATAACAACACTCATGCACTTGGCTCTTGGCATCCTCTAACACAAATGCAACAGTGAAACTGATGACAGATACTTCACATAGTACAAACACTGTGTGCAGACAAGGTACAGGAAAGATGGTAAAGCAGACCAGAGACCTTGATTGTTTCTGTATCAGCTGTCAAGCTGTTCTGTGTACCTCAGGCCTTTCTCAGCAATTAATTATAGTGTTAAAAACATATTCCAAAAAGAATGGCAATCCATAATGTGGTCAGTATTCAAAAAATTTCATCACAAAAGATCTGTGAATGAGTAACCAAGCAGAACAGAATGCTTGTTTTCCCACTTCCAGCAAGTTTTCCTTCTTCCAGCTATTTCTTTGCAATTTCCTCTTCAATTTCACACATAAGCAGCATGAAAGTTAATATTTTTCCATCTAAGCCAGTACTAGCTTAGAAGGAAGCACTGTGATATTTTTTTGGGGGAAACGAGAGAAACACCCGAGTACTTAAGAGAAACCTAACACCATGCTTTAGTACCATGGCATTGAATTGCTGGAGTGGATGAAGTCAGGAGCTCCCAGGAGGTCTCCTTGAAATGAATTCACTTCCTGGCACTGCAGCTTTTGACGCTTGCTTTCCCTGAAATGCTGCTACCATCCAGCTTTCCACAAACAATGCAGTAGACTTAGAGAGCCCAGATACCTTGTAATCAACAACACTCAAGAGCAAGTCACTAGCTAAAAAACCCCAACTATATCTATTGGGACACAGGTTGCTTGGCATTTTGCTTTGCAACAACTCCAAATACTGTTAGTAAATGTTTTCACAGACATTCCGAGAAAGAAAAGCCTGAATATATCACAACTTACTGAAAAAAAAAAATAAAGCTTAAATCCCCCTGTCAAATCTTACTTGATAAGAAAGTAATAACATTTTAGTAGGCACCTATGGTCAGACACTGATCTCAGATACACTACTGTAAACCTGAAATAGTCCTGGAGTAGGTAAAAAATTCAGTGTGTCTGTCATTCTATCTGTGTTTCAGCTCCACATCCTTGTGCACAAAGTTTGCTATGCACATTAAATTGCAGGTATGAGGCAAGCGTACAAGACAAAACCTTTTTTTAAAAGCCTGTTACCAATTCCAAGCACAAGGGGTTAAAATAGAGCTGATTTTTTTCACAAAACGAACCAGGGTTCAAATAGCAACAAAGGTCACAAGTATTTTGCACATCATAAGGTCAGCCAGAAAAGTTGTAAAGGTGCAGGATTTATTTATTTATGCCCCTGCAAGTCCTTCATTCAGCAAAGCCGCCCATTTCTAGCCAGGATCTGGCCTCATTTTCGCAGCAGTTGGGTATTTCACATCACTTCTCCCTGAAGAGCCTTCCCTCTGAATACAGAGGGACGTATTACACGT